CATGAAATGTGTTTTTGGTATATTAGATGATTAAGATTTTAGGCGAGCGTTTTGACCCGCATAAAAATATAATATTTTTAATTTGATATTTATAGAATTTTCATTTCAGTTTTATTTTACATTTTTAACGTTTAGTTTTTTTTTATTTTTTTATTTATAAATAGAAGGCAAAAATATATTTTATGAATTTTAAGATTTTTAAAATAATTTATACGGGTTATTTGAATCAGAACTGAAATTTTAAAAATACTTGAGTGAGATTAAAATATTTAACTCCGAAGACTTAAAACCCGAATAGACTCTAACTAAATTCGAACGAGTACTCAAACATCTATCCGTATATTAGATGATTAAGATTTTTGGCGAGCGTTTTGACCCGCAGAAAGTATAATATTTTTAATTTATTATTTATAGAATTTTCATTTCAGTTTTATTTTACATTTTTCACGTTTAGTTTTTTATTTTATATTTATAAATAGAAGGAAAAAAATATTTTATGAATTTTAAGATTTTTATAATAATTTATACGGGTTATTTGAACCGGAACTGAAATTTTTAAAATACTTGAGTGAGATTAAAATATTTAACTCTGAAGACTTAAAATCCGAATAGACTCTAACTAAATTCGAACGAGTACTCAAACGTCCATCCTTAATTTATATATAAGATATTGTATAGGTTTTGACATATTTATACGAAACCAAAGAACCAAAACCAACTGTGGACCTAATTCATAAATAACCAAGTGAATCCTATATATTTGTAACCAAAAATTAAATTTGAACCAAAATCAAACCGCGAACCAAATAAGAATCCAAAATTTTAAAATAAAACTATAACCCACAAATATTAACTATATCTAATTACTAAATAACTAAATATACTAAAAATACTATTTATTAACAAAATTACTTGAATAATTTTATCCATATATTTAACATTATCCAAATTATTTTATATTTTTATTCAAACAGTTCGATATTTAAATTTGGTATAGTTATTTTTTTATTTGTAAACATAGGTATTGACACTATGAATATAAATGCTATTAATTGTTATTGATAATATATATAGCGAATGGTATCAAGCATGGGGAAATCAAAGCATCTAATAGATGAATTAGTTGTTGTCGCTAATTGTAGTTTAATAATCTTTCTTTGCTTAGATATATAATTAATGTTTACGTAATACCCGAAATTATAGGAAGTAAAGAGAAGGGGGAGTTATAAAACATCAAATCACTTTATAGATATATACTCTCTTTGTTCGGTAAAGATACATATTCTAAAAAAAAGTTGTTTCTAAAAGTTTCTTTTTTACATTTTCAATGAATATTTTATTAACTAATTGTAAACTTCAAAAAACTTAATTGCACTAATTAATTTTTTATTTGTTTAAAATTATGGAAAGAAGATAAATACAAAAAACTATGCAAATTTATTGTGTTTTATTAAAAAGTGTTAGAAAAACTAGAATATGATTATTTTAAGAATATGTTAAATATTGACAGTTAATTATTTGAAAAAGAGGTTGTACATAATTGAGCATAACCTTGCGTCAATTCGTTAATAATGTCGCAAAAACTGCATTTTTTTACCCAGAGGCGGCCCTTGGGCCAAGCCCATCAAGCACTTACTTGCGGCCGTCAAATATATATAAAATTTTCGGCCACAAAATTTTAGGGATACATAGTGGTGTAGTGGCTTAACATAAAGGTTTATTGCGGCTGGCCCTGGTTTCGATTACCACATGTCACAATTTGTTTTTTTCGAATTTACAATAAAAATAATGTTAAATTAACTTTAAAAAAAGAAGGAAAATATGGTTGACCTAAAATTTTGCGTCTTCTTTTTTTGCCATTGTCCCAAGATCAAGTCTGAACATCTCTTCAATTGATATCATTATTCTAATTCATATTACTTGAATCCCTTACTTATTCTTTTCTATTTCTGTAACTAGAAACCAATTGTCTTCTCTTCTTCTTGATCAAGGGGTAATTCTATTATTCTGTAATATAGTTGGTTATTTTCATATTTTAAACATATTTTTCTTCTCGTGATAGTCTTTATGTGTTTGTTCATAGTAACTAATATTCTTTTAATCATTGCAGAAAGATGGGTCCTAAAAGAATTAGAAAAGAGATGGGGGGTGCTGAAAAAGAAAGAAAAAAAGAAAAAAGAAGAAGTTTTCATAAAATCTCAAGCTAATTCAATGTTAAGATATGTTAAAAAAACTGAAGCTCCTAAATATGATGAGGTTGTCGAAGATGAGACTATAGAAGATATGGAGGATGGGGATATTGATGATGATGAACAAAACTTGGATGTGGATCAAAATAGGAATAATAATGGGAGCAAAGCTGGTAGTGAGAGCAAAAAAGAGACTGAAAATAAGGACGAAGAAAAAAAAATGGATGGTGTTAAAGAATACCAAATAAGTGGAGATGTCGATGATCCTGGAAACTGGAAAAAAATTGATAATAGAATCAGAGATTTTCTTGTCCAGAAAGGTCCAACTATGCAGTTACCGATTGATTACCATTTTCCAAGAGATTATGTTGGTAGATGTTTTTCTCATTCGTCTTATACAAGAGAAATAAGAAAAGGAGAGAAATAAGATAGACACTGGTTAGTTTACTCCAAAGTAAAAGATAAGGTCTTCTGTTTTTGCTGTAGACTATTTACCCAAGACAGAAACTCTAATCAGATTGCAACCAGTGGATACAATGACTGGAGAAATATTTCAAAAATGCTAAAGGAGCATGAAAAAGGTCAAAAGCATATTGTATGTATAACTCAATGGATAGAGCTAGAAGTGAGACTAAAGACGACTCAGACCATTGACAAACATATTCAAGAAGAGGTTAACAAAGAGAAACAATACTGGAGAGATGTATTGTTGGGGATAATTTCATTGGTGAAAGGCCTTGCTAAACAGAATATGGCATTTCGTGGAAAGAGTGACAAGATCCGTGTGGCTGGTAATGGAATTTTTTTGGGCATGATTGAAGTATTTGCAGATTTTGATGAAGTGACGAAAGAGCACATTAGACGAATTGAAAAGCATGAAAATCGTTATCATTATTTGAGTCACAAAATTCAAAATGAGTTGATACAGATGCTTGGGAGTGAGATCAAAACAATGATCTTAAAGAAGATTCGATTTGCAAAATACTATTCAGTTATTCTTGATTGTACTCCTGATATCAGCCTCACAGAACAGATGTCACTGGTCATCCGATGTGTAGATATTTCTGAGACCTCACCAAAGATCGAAGAGTTCTTTTTGACATTCTTGGAAATTAAAGACAAATCTGGTGAAGGTCTTTTTGGCACCCTTCAAAATATATTGGTTGATTTGGGGTTGAATATTGATGACATTAGAGGGCAAGGTTATGATAATCAGTCAAATATGAAAGGTAAACATATAGGAGTACAAAAGAGATTGCTGGAAATTAATCCAAGAGCTGTTTACACACCATGTGGTTGCCATAGTTTGAATCTTGCACTTTCAGATATTGCTTCTTCGTCGGATATAGCAGTAGCGTTTTTTGGTGTTGTTCAACTCATATATCACTTGTTTTCCTCTTCAACAAATAATTGTGAAATTTTTAAAGAGATTGTGAATGGCATTACAGTTAAGCCATTATCACAAAATCGTTGGAAGAGTCGCATCAACAGCATCAAAGCAATACGGTTTCAAGCTCCTAAGATACGAGAAGCATTGTTTTACTTGGCAGAAAACACTAAGAATCCGGGAACAAGAAGTGATGTTGAGTCTCTTGCCATGAGTGAAACCCATGGAATAGGGAGTTTTGAGTTTCTGTTTGGAATGTATTTGGTATGAGCTTTTGTTTGTTGTTAACAAAGTAAGCAAGATTCGGCAATCAGCAGATATGGATATTGATATTGCTATTGCTCAACTGAAAGAACTTGTTTCTTTTTTTAAGGACTATAGAGAAACAGGCTTTCAAGCAGCCAAGGTAGAAGATGAAAAGATTGCTAGAGAAATGAAAATTGATCATGTGTTCTCTAGAAAAGGCAAACGTCCTACTAGAAAAAAATATTTTCATGATGAAGAGCCAGATAAAGTTGGCGAAGATGTGTTATTAACACCAGAAGAAGACTTTAGGATCAACTACTTCATCAAAATTGTGGATCAAGGTTTGGTTTCTCTTGAGACAAGGTTTGATCAGCTTCAAGGTTATGAAAAGACTTTTGGATTCTTATTCGACTTTAAAAAACTGAAGCTAGCAGAAGATGACAAGCTAATGATTTCTTGTACTAACGTTGAAGCTTTTCTGAAACATGGTAATTATTCTGATATTGATGGCAATGATTTGTTTTGGAACTGAAGCTTTTGAGAGGGAGTTTACCTGAAGGTATTAAGAAGGTTGCTGAAATATTGGAATTTTTAAAAAAGAGGGAAAGTTGTTATCCAAATACATGGACATCATATCGTATAATGATGACAATTTTTGTTTCCGTTGCCTCAGCATAAAGAAGTTTTTCAAAGTTGAAACTCATAAAATCTTATCTACGGTCGAGTATGTCACAAGAGAGACTTAATGGATTGTCAATGTTGTCGATCGAAAGGGATATGGCTGAGAAGATTGATTATACAACTTTGATGAATGAGTTTGCGGGAAGAAATGAAAGAAGATTCATATTTCAAAAGTAATGTATTGATCTTTTATGTTTTAGACCGGTTCTGTTTAACACTTGTTTTTTTAGTCCAAAACGATTAGTAGGAAAATTTATGAACCAACTTTTTTTTTTCTTAGTTTCTAGCCACCAAAAAGTCAGGACCGGCTCTGTTTTTACCATTAAACATTGCCTTGAGGAGTAGCAAATACACAATCGGTAATAATATTAAAATAATTAAAATAAAAATAAAAACAGATCCTTCGTGTCGGATCCGAGACTGTGACCATTACATACTTTAGTTACCTTCCTTCTACTCCCCACACACAAACGCGCCGCCGTGACCAAACCAAAAAAATGCAGAACGGAGGAACACAGTCCGGGAAGGAGCAACCAAGACTAACTCTCTACATAATCCTCACCACAGCCTTCCTCTCCCTCTTCTTCCTCCTCTCCCTCTCCTCCTCCTCCTCCTCCCCTCCCCACTCCTCAAGATCCAACCCCCTCCGCCCCGACCCCAGACTCTTCCCTTCCTCCTCCTCCATCCCCTCCGACACTTCCCCCCCTTCCATCGCCTACCTCATCTCCGGATCCTCCGGCGACTCCCGCCGCATCCTCCGCCTCCTCTTCGCCGCGTACCACCCGAGGAACCGCTACCTTCTCCACCTCGACGGCCTGGCGACTCAGTCGGAGAGGGATCGGTTGGCGTTGTCGGTGGGGGAGGTTCCGATCTTTGGAGCGGCGAGGAACGTTGATGTTGTGGGGAAAGGTGACTTGGCGTATAGGAGAGGGTCGTCTCCCGTGGCGGCGACGCTTCATGGGGCTTCGATTTTGCTTAGGTTGTCTCGTGGTTGGGATTGGTTTGTTTGTCTCCGTGTTGATGACTATCCTCTCCTTACTCAAGATGGTTTGCTTCTTTTTGTTTTTTTGTTTTTGATCTTTGTTAGTGTGTGAGATTCTCTTACAAGATTGTGTCTTTGTTTGTGTAGAGCTTCTTCATATTTTGTCGTATTTGCCTAAGGATTTGAACTTTGTGAATCATACTAGCTACATTGGTTGGAAAGAGTAAGACTTTGTGTTTAGTGAACAAGATTTAATGTTTGTTGTAGTGGAAAGTTTTGAGATTGGTTTTATTGTAGGTCAAGGAGGTTGAAGCCAGTGATTGTTGACCCTGGGCTGTATCTTGTGGAGAAAACTGATATGTTTTTTGCTTCACAGAAACGAGAGTTGCCTAAGGCTTTTAAGCTATTCTCAGGTATTTGCTAAGTAGCATTACATTTAGTCTTCGTTTCTTTTTCTGTGTGTTTCTGCATTTCTTGATAGATCTCTTGTTTGTTCTTTCTAAACTTGTCTATATTGGTACGCTAAGTTGAATTGCATAGTATTGGCATGTTTTAGTGAAGCTCAGACTTCAATCGTGTCCTGCTGATTGTTCTGTTCTGTAAACACTAAGTCCTTTTTTCACAAGGTTCGCAACGTTTCATTATTTGCTAGTTGAATTCGTGGAAATAAAGGTTAACAGTGGGGGAGAATATAATACTACGAGAGGTGTCAATGAGTAAAGCTATCTGCTTAAAAGCAGATAAGTGAGAACAGGGAAGTCAAAGTCTAGGAATTGCTGACAATGATTCAATTGCTATCTTTGCTTGGCTATTATGTCTAGCAGAAAGACTATCGAAAAGATCTGATATAGACTGATCTAGAGTGATGTGATGAAGCTGCGAGACTTTATACTAAATGTGCTGTTCAGTAGGAGCTAAATCCTTTCTTCTTCTTTTTTTCTAAAAGACAAAGTAGCAATTTTTATGCAAGATTTGAGAATAAAATGGTATAGACCATTGATAACTTTAGGTGGAATTTTCTGTAACTATAATCCGCTGAGACTACACTATTAGCTGCTTAAGTAGATAAGAAGGAAGTACTGCCAACGTGTAGGAATCGCTTATAATGGTTCTCATTGATATAAGTTTGTTGATCTGTAGACTTTTATGGATGTGAATCAAATTTTGGAGGACATGTAAGAGGTCATTGCTTGATATAAGGAACTTCGTTAGCATGCAATATCGCAGTTATAAACTTAGATACGGTTAACTCCTTTGATGTTTAAACTAACTGCGATAATCTCTTTATGGCAGGTCCATCTTTCTCCATCTTAAGCCGCAATTTCATCGAACACTGTGTCTTAGGCACCGACAACTTCCCTCGGACTCTACTCATGTACCTGTCCAACACACCTGCTTCCCTCTCCAACTACTTCCCAACGATCCTCTGCAACTCGAATCTCTTCAAAAAGACCATCATCAACAACAACTTACTCTACCTACCTTCTAACGACACTTCTAAAGAAACACACCACCATCTTGATCCCAAAGAGTTCACGGATATGGTTGAATCAGGAGCAGCATTTGCACGAGTGTCAAGCCACGATGACCCTATCCTTGATCGTATCGATCATGAGCTTCTGGGACGCACACATGGTGAGGTTGTGCCTGGTGGTTGGTGTTTGGGAGATGCTGGTGACAACAGGAGCTTGTGTTCTGTCTGGGGAGACTCGGGTATTCTTAGGCCCGGTTCTGGTTCGGAGAGGCTGGAGAGACGGGTTGTTGAGTTACTGTCAAATGATTGGTTCAGATTGCATCAATGCATAGCAGAATGATCTCATCTTTGCCACACGTTCAGTAGAGTATATAGTTTGCCACGAGAGCGATTAACAGCAACGGTGTTTAAAGCTTTATGTATGTTTCACATGTAATCTTGTGAGTTTGAGTTTGTTGATTCATTGGTGAACATCTCAACCTCTCTCAGCGTTTTTGTTGTCTGTCATCTAAACTGGGATATGTATGGAGCCGGTTCAATTGATTGTTTGGTTAAGTCTTAACCGGTGTATAATCATGGGTTTTATTCATGGTTCTAAAAGTTGACGTCAGTTCTATCCGAGACGATTTTTCTAACGTCTGATCTATACAATTTGAATCGTCTAAACTGTTTTAAATCGGTTAAAATTGGTTGAACGTGATAGAAATTATTTTAAACTAGGGGTTTTGTCCACACTTGCAGGCATAATTTTCTTATGAATATTTATTAGTTGATGTTTCATTAATTTAAAAATCATCAATATAAGTTATTATTTATATTTTTAAAAAGTAAAAATTAAAAATCAAATAATTATCAATGACAAAACTCAAATATCAAAAATATTTAAAAGAATATATTTCAATAATTATTTGTCTTCCTTTATATTTAATTATAATATTTATATCTTAATTTTAAATTTATAATAGAAAAACATATTTTAAATGTAACAATATAATGCATAAGTTATTTATTTTCTAAAAGTATAATATGATAAGTGTTTTAATTATATAATAATTATATAAGATTATTTAAAATAGGACATATAATTAAAATTATCTAAAATTATGGAGAATTTAATGAATCAGCAAATTCACTTCTTAAATATTTTTTCTTGAGTGATGATTTATACTTAATTAATAATAGATAAATTTTCTATTTTAATTTTAAATTGTATAATATAAAAATATTTTTTCAAGATAACAACATAATTATAAGTGTAAATTTTTTTTCAATTATAGAATAAGTACAACTTTTTATATCTTAATTTTAAATTTCTAATAAAAAATAATCTGATACTATTAATATAAATTTGTTTTAAATATATAATAAATTATATATAAAATTATATAAATTATGATAAATTATCAAAATTACCTAAAATCATGAAAATATGACAAATCAGCAAACATTAAATTCACTTCTTAAATAATAGTATAAATTTGTTTACATGTAATTTTAAATTTTAAAATAGATAATATAATTGTTTTGATGATTTATATTTAATTATGATTTACATTTTATTATTAATAATATAATTTTATATCTTAGTTTTAAGCTTTATAATAAGAAAATATATTTTCAACATAACAACATAATACATAATAATTATCTTATTTTAGAAATATTAAATTATTAATATAAATTCGTTTTCGTTAAATTTAATTATTAAATTATTAATATAATTTTTTTTAGATAAATATAATAGTTTTTATATCTTAATTTAAAATTTAAGTTATATATATAAAAATATATTTTAAGATAACAACATGATATATTCATATAAATTCGTTTTGTTTATAACAAAAAAAAAATATATAAATATTAAAAATACCATAAACAAATAAGGAATAACAGTTAAAGCAAGTAGCTGAGTTTTTGGATTCCTGCTACCAATCCGTTTCTTGACGCCTTTCACAACATCTTTTGCCTGCCTGCAAAACATCAACCAATTTCAGACACTATGTAGGATCCCTCAGGTTAGTAAAAATCAATTATGTAACCCTGAAAAATATGCTTCTTGCAATCAAAAATCATAAAAATGAAAAAAAGGTCCTAGCTTTAATCAGCTGCTGCAAAATTAATCAGCTGCGTGTTGGGTAATTCCAAGCTTGTGGAAACTTAACATATTATTGGATGTTTAATATGTTAAGGATAAACATAATAAGGAAATCTAGAAATAGGAAAATGAAGTTTTCTATTAGATTAGTTTGTGTTTTCCATATCCCACATGTTCAAGGGAATTGACTCAACTATAAATATAGGTCTTATGGAGAGGTGTTCCACATGATCTAAGAGAAACATATTGTGAGCTTTAGTTTTGAGTAGTTTCTAAAGCTAATAAGAAAAGTTGTTCTTATAATCCTTTGTGTTTCTAGAGATTTGAATTGGTATCAGAGCTTCTCAGGTTGGAGACTCGATCTAAGCTTAAGTTGAAGCTTTGATCCTGGTGCTTGTGACCAAGAGTACACGCGAGCAAGATGGCGGACGTGACTAGGGCTCCACGCACGAAGGACCTTGGAACTACATCCATCCAATGTCCTATGTTATCATCATCAAACTATACCGTTTGGTCGATGAGGATGAAGGTTTTACTTCGTGTTCATGAAGTGTGGGACGCGATTGAACATAGTTTGGATGATCGAAAGAAGAACGATGTGGCGATTACTCTTTTGTTTCAATCCATCCCTGAAGCTTTGATTCTCCAGGTGGGAGATCAAACCGCAGTAAAAGACATCTGGAACGCTATCAAGTCACGACACCTTGGAGCTGATCGTGAAAAGGAAGCGAGACTACAGACGTTGATGGCGGAGTTTGATAGGTTGAAGATGGATGATAGTGATAAGGTCGATGACTTCGCGGGGAAGATATCGGGCATATCATCCAAAGCAGCCTCGCTAGGTCAGAACATAGAGGAGTCCAAGATGGTTAAGAAGTTTCTGACGGGTCTTCCAAGTCAATACATCCATATCGTAGCGATGTTTGAGGAAGTCCTAGACTTCAACACAACGGCGTATGAGGACATCGTAGGAAGGATCAAGGCGTACGAGGATCGTGTAGGGGGAGAAGCTCAGAAAGTAGACCAAGGGAAGCTCATGTTTTCGAATAGTGACCAGCAATCTCATAAAAGTTATGAGAATTTTCGTGGTAGAGGTAGAGGACGGAATGGTAGAGGCAGAGGTCGGGGTGTGTTACACAACCAAAATCATGTGTCACACACCGAAGAGAAAAACTCGAAGAAGGATCGTTCAAAGGTGATATGTTGGAGATGTGACAAGCCGGGTCACTATGCAACCTCCTGTCCCGAGAAGTCAGTGAAGAATCAAGAAACCAACCTAAACGAGACACAAGAGGCTGATGATGCACTCTATGTACACGAGGTGGTGTTCTTGAATGAAGACAAGGTGATTCCGAAGAATCTCGATATCAACAAAGGCAATGCAAGTGTTTGGTATTTGGATAATGGAGCGAGTAATCACATGACGGGAAACAAGGAGTTCTTTTCGAGTTTGAATCAAAACACCAAAGGAAAGGTGAAGTTTGGTGATGGATCGTGTGTTGATATCGAAGGAAAGGGTGTGATTACCTTTGTGTGAAAGACTGGAGAGAAGAAGGCACTCAAGGACATCTACTACATACCCGACCTGAAGCACAATATATTGAGTCTTGGTCAAGCAACAGAAAACGGATGTGAGGTTAACATGAAAGACGTCTACTTAACTCTCACGGATTTGCGTGGAAGGTTGCTTGTACGTGTGACAAGATCTCCAAACCGTCTCTACAAGACCCCGATGGAGATAAGCTATCCAGAGTGTTTACATGTCAGATATGAAGATGTTACGTGGAGGTGGCATGCTCGTAGGACATATAAGTTACGGAGTGATGAACAACATGGTAAGAAAGAAGATGGTTGTAGGAATGCCGTGTGTAACACACGAGGAGAGTGTGTGTGACGCATGTCTAGCAGGAAAGCAGATTAGACAGTCATTCCCGACCAAGGCCATGTTTCGTGCAACAAAGCCATTAGAGTTACTGCATGGAGATTTGTGTGGACCAATCACACAACCAACGCCAGCAGATAACAAGTATGTCTTTGTCCTGATTGATGACTTCTCCAGGTATATGTGGGTTATACTTATGAAGGAGAAGAGTGAGGCATTCGATCGCTTCAAAAGGTTTAAGGAGAGTGTAGAGAAGCAAACCGGGTCAACCATCAAAACCTTTCGCACCGATAGAGGAGGAGAGTTTACCTCAGCTGAGTTCAATCTATTCTGTGAAGAGAATGGAGTTCAAAGGCANCAAGAAGTATGCTGAAGGCAATGAAGATGCCGAACTACTTATGGGGCGAAGCTGTACGTCATGCAACTTACCTCATCAACAGAGTTCCTACAAAAGCCTTGAAGGATCAGACGCCATACGAATGTCTTATGTTGAAGAAACCTAATATCGAGCACTTGAGGATATTCGGTTGTGTAGCACACGCGAAGATATGTGTGACTCATCAGAAGAAGCTAGATGAGAGTTCAAAGTGTGTGATCAATCTTGGAACTGAGCCGGGTTCCAAAGCTTATAGGCTCTATGATCCAGTCACAGGGAAGGTGATGGTGAGTAGAGATGTGATTTTCGATGAGAAGAAAGCTTGGGATTGGATGTCTACAACAACTCAAGCGGATTGTGAGCCGAGTATGCTTAAGCTTCCACTTGAGGGTGATATAGAAGAAGGTAATGATCAAGGTGGTGATCATGAACATGCAGCTATAAACCAAGATGAGGAAGAAGAAGAAGAAGAAGAGGTAGATCACAATGAGAATCAAGACGGTGGAGTTCAACCGTTGGTGACTAGACACGGCCGCACCATAACAAAACCAAGATATCTCGATGATTATGTGTTACTTGCTGATCAAGAGTGTGCAATGTTGTTGCTCACAGTAGATGGAGAGCCAGAGAACTATCTTGAAGCTGAACATGTACGAGAATGGGTTGTAGCAATGGTGGCCGAGTTGGAGTCTATCACAAGAAACAAGACATGGGAGCTTGTGGATAGACCAGATGGAGTGAAACCGATAGGGTTGAAGTGGATCTACAAGATAAAGAGAAAGGCGGATGGTACGGTGAACAAGTATAAGGCGAGACTTGTAGCTAAAGGCTATGTTCAAGTTCAAGGAATAGATTTCGATGAAGTGTTTGCACCTGTGGCACGTCTCGAAACTATCCGGCTCTTGATAGCTCTCGCAGCAACAAACGGTTGGGAGATACATCACATGGGTGTGAAGACCGCATTCTTGAATGGAGATCTAAAGGAGTTAGTGTATGTAACTCAACCCGAAGGTTTCGAAAAGAAAGGAGAAGAGGATCGAGTTTATGTGTTACACAAGGCGCTGTATGGGTTACGCCAAGCACCAAGAGCTTGGAATACTAAACTCGATCAGGTTCTGAAGGAGATGAGATTTGAGAAGTGCACGAAGGAACCATCAGTGTACCGAAAGACTGAAGGAGGAGACGTCTTGATCATAGCCATCTACGTTGATGATCTATTTGTGACTGGAACTTCTCTTAAGGTGATTAAGCGTTTCAAGGAGGAGATGT